TGCAAAGTGGATATGAACTTCATTGGGTACATCCTCAGTGACATGGTCTCCTGAGATCTTCGTGGGCGGGAATAGTAATCACAACGAGCAGGTGGAAGAGGACATAAACCGATGATATCCTTCTACCACGTCTAGTCACTGAACAATCTATGTGCTTGATCTCTAAATCAACCAATCCACAATTGACATGATGTGAAAGAAAGGAACAGATTTGGTTGATGGATGAAATGACAAGGGGTAAAAGACTTGCCATAAAGCTAGGAAAAATTGTGAGGTATTAATGGCGAGCAAGGCGCTCAACAGTCTTCGAAAACTTGCCAATATCACACGCGGCTCGTACAATGCTATAGATGGCTTAACGCTGAGGCTATGATGTGAAAGAGGCGAGTATTCTCCTATCTTTGAAGAGAATGCACAATTGTTCATGGGAAAGTGAAGTGTGACTCCCAAACTGCCAACACGAAAACCAACGATGAACGAGTGTGCCAGTTGAAAATGACTAATTGGAAGTCTCGTAAAACGCAAGAAAAGGAAGGATGCAAGCAGGAATTTGCCTAAACCAATATCTCAATTCCACTTGTTGCCAGACTTCATCCAGAATGCGAGAAGATCTTCTCTCCTTTCTCTGGCGGAGATACGCAGCACCAACAAGAAACCAACAAGGCCCTCTTATTCTCTCCTATGGGCTCAGCCTCAATTACGAGACGTCGGCACATAGTTCATGAAGATGAACCAGCACCAGGAGTTATTGAACCATGGAATTGGAATATATTTAATCACGTGATGTGAAGCTGACCATAGACTGAAGGCAGGCGGGCCTCAATTTGGGCCTCGAGAATTGTGATGGTGTGCTGATTCGATGTGTTGCAAGACTCACTTATGCAAGAGCGGATTACCTTCTATTAATGATGAAACGGCTGAGAAAGCTAAATGCATTGCGGTTTTGCTATACAGTCAGAAGGCATACATGCATGCTTCAATACGACGTATTGTTCATCAGCAGTAGTGTCCATTTTTTTTTTGGACAAACCAATTCTCGGAAAAGTACGAGTAGAGTAATGTTTGATAGCTAGAATTCCCCTGCGTTACCTCTCGCCTCCTCTTGACGATGAATATGATCCGTCTTACTATGCACCACGCCCAGAATGTGATTGTGATTTGATTGTGAACGTTCTAGATGGTGAAGCTCCGCTATGATATCTTTCTTCAAGTTTATGTTATCTCCGTGATTGCAGGGCATAGCATAAACGGGAGTTATGGTGTCCCGGTGGACTTCGGATGTATGCACTCGTGTTACGCGACATGTAGCTATGAGCATATCTCATTCTGAAAGCATCATTATTGGTGGATTCCAAAGGACTATTAAACAGGAATGAAATCATTTTTATTTTCTTTCCCAATGAATATACGATCCGATTCCGAAATCTCATCAGATCCGAAAGGGATCAAGGTTCCTATGGAGCAAACCAGAGAAGAATGTGGATGCCAATGGTGACTAAAGAGATCTTGTCGATCTAAGCCCTTGTGCGAGTTCTTGACTATATCATTAAATCATGCCAGAAAGACGATTGCACATTCTTTTGTCTTTCGTCTTTTGTATTTGTCTCTCCGGTATTCACAGGACTCTCATTTTATGATGTGTAGTAGTGAGTGAGTCGTAGTGGTAGTGACAGTGGTAGGTGCGTTGTCTACTCTCTTGTGGTAGTTTTTCGGAGTTCGGAGGTAAGTGGGACGTTTTAAATCGAATACTATTTAGCCTAGGGTGTGTTAGACAAGGGAACCTAGTTAAAGTAAAGTGTCTACTCCTCTAGTGTCTACGAAGTAGTGTTTTGTCTAGTGTCTAGCAACAATATCAATTGATCAGTATTGGCGTTTCATATTGTCGGTTCTCTTCTCTTCGGCTCCGGAACCCTTCTGAATGTCTCGAGTGGCCCATCTAGGATAGTTGATATTTAGTTAGGCACATTGCAATACGGAAGAAAACCTCCCTCCGTGCCCGTCATTAAGAAGTGACTTCATATTGAAAGAAATTCCTTGCTCAGCTTCTTGTACTACCATCACTTGACGCGGTCTTGCTTACGAGGAAAGTACAAGGATATTGGGCAGTCATTCCCCTTCTTCAATTTCATACTTACCACCCTTGTTTTCCTCAGACGATACATCAGTAATCATTCCACTGGCGTCTATTAATCGCCTCCAATTCGCTGTGCCGCTAACAAACGGACGTCACACATGAGTTCCTGAAAATTTCGAAATTATCCGGTGTCTATCACATTGCTTATCGAAGATGGACACTGGTTGATCAGGTCATCACCCTATAGCTAATGTAATTTCAGCCAGGCAACCTGTAGGTAGCAAGCCAAGGGGAATTTCAAAAATTGGAACTCGAATGGCTCAATCGAGTCAAGATCCTGTATGTCTCCTTTCGCAGAATTAGTCAACCATCTCCCGTATTTGACAGCGGACACGGCTGTGGGTATCCGTCGTCAAAATAACATGACGTCGGAACCCTGCAGAACGAATGGACTTGTGGCCCCTTGTGACTTGACAGAGTATCGCGAGAGGCTAAAGTGCTGTGATGAACCACGCATATTAAGTTTGAAGCCGTTGGAATCCTTTACATCCCCCATTGTGGAGTCAAGAAATGCCTTAGTACAGCTCGGGAGGCCGATGAGCGGGCCGATACCGACTGAAGACTGCGATATGACCTGCTTCAGAATATTGAATATACATTCCTGTTCCTGTAGGTAGATTTGCTTGCATTGACCGAACTCTGGCCCGTAATTTGATGGCCCGTACCTACATACAATCGTTACACAATAGCCATCTTCGAGAAAGCCGAGATCCTTCTTAGATGCGGTGAACTTCTTCAAACATCAATGATAGAAACAATTAGTACTCCAAACCATCGTCATTCATCCATTCATCATCTTTTGGCTGCAGAAAACTCGAGTCCTGCCGGCGATCTGTGTCTGGTGCCCCGGAGCAGGCCGTCCAGAAGATTGCCCAATCCAGTCGCGAAACCTTCCTTCGACAGCTACAAGTGCCGTATTGTGATCAATTTCAGGGATAAGTTTTTAGATGAGAGATGGAAAAGGAGAAGGTAGAGACGTTGCCGCGAAAGTGCATGACATAGTGGCGTTTCTGCCAACAATCGTAGAATTCAATCAATCACGCATGTAAAAGTCCGGCCACCTGCCGATGTGAAATGATTCAGCCGTAGGGCAGAGTTGTACTAATTGAATGAGTACGAACGGCGAGCTGATGAATATGTTGGTGATCAGTCCTCGAGGGGCCAATTGTAACCAAGATCGCGGCAACTCAACGTTGGTGAACGTTGGACTGACCCTAGCGATGCAAGCTAGGGAGGAATAGAAATTATGCATAATTGCGGCTGTTGGGTAGAATGTTAAATTGTAAGAGACGTGTGAGAGAAGAAGAGGATACCGATTAAGATTACTATATAAAGAAAATTGTTTGAATTGTTTGAATTGTTGTAGATTCTGAATTCTTTTTGGACCGCCGAGTCCCCGAGTCTGTCAGCAAACAGGGTCGACGGTTGAAGGTGGACCATAAGAGAAAACAAGGTCCCAGGCGCTCCCGCAATTGAGTTTTCTCTGGGTTTAGAGGTTGGACTTATCACCTAGTACCTTTGTTTAGCTTCATTGGTTGAATACATCTGATGCAATTTGTTAACCCAGCCCTACAGCAAGGTGATCCCTTTGTCGATTCCCGTTGTCGCGAAAAGCGAGAAAAAGCTTCGAGAAGCCTTACGTACTTGAGTACTGTATAAAAGTCTTGCTGTGCCATTTCCTGGATTAATGGAAACTCGTGAACCAAATGCTCTAAGGGTGTGATATATTTCTATTTTGGAACAAGAAAGTTGGGTTGATACGATTTCAAAGGTAGAGAAGCCTCTTTTCACAATGTCCGCTTGACACATCCACATGGCACCCCCGTAGAATATGATTCATCTAAGGGTTCAAAGCGTCTAAAACCGAGAGATCTATAGGTGCTACGTGAGGTACTAAGGTAGTAAAAAGCCTAAGCCTGCCATTAGCATCGTAGTGTATGCTGTGAGCCGCAGTCTCTAATCGGATCTAAGCCGTTTAATTGGAGCATAGTTGTACAAAGACTAATGTTGCGACCCCATGTAGGAAATGGCACTCTTACTGTGGCTTTGGTCTTTTTTTCCTCTTTTGGCGGATAGTCAATTTGGCTTGTAGTTTGTGATTTGACCTGGTCTATAGTTTGGTCTGGTTTTAATTGCCGTGGTCATACTCGAAACAATTTAATCAGGATGATAGTATTTACTAAGTGCTAGATATAATTACTGGTGAATTTTAGTCGAAAATGAAGGGGGAAAAAACGTCAAGCCCCCGTTAAACGACACTACCTAAGCCTAATATAATAGCGAGAGCACTGACTGATGTGATTACATATATGATGAATTGATCTGTCAACTCCAAACCCCCAAATTCGTAAAACCCCCAACTTATCTTATTTTGTTTACTAGATTACTAGATTACAATATCATGCAATGGCATGATTTAGCTCACTAGATGTATTCTTTCTTCCAGTTATCTATCCCCACGCGCAGCTTCATTCAGCCATGATCTAAAATCAAGCGTGTGTATTGTGTAATCACTGTAATGTACCGTACTTGGCTCAAAATAGGTGCAGCAATTATGTTTCTTTTGCCCTTGCCCTCTAGTCTCTGCTCTAGCCTCTAGCCTTTGGCCTCTACTTTCTAGCCTCTAATCAATCTAGTCTCTAGATCTACATTTGCTACTGAAGATGGTTAAGGGTAATTTAGTTGCAGGTCCCATTATTTGGTCCTTGTAACTTTTGCAAACCTTGCAGGTCCTTGCTGCCTCGGGTGGATCATCCATTTTGTAATTTTCAATAATCAGAACGCTTGACTTGTCCGCAACTGCATCGATCCTCCTTTCGCCGTACCTGCAATCTAGGATTGGCCATGTGAGCTTGCGCTTTTAGCTATGGCGCCCTACCGATACCATGTCAGCGATGGAATTGATACCTGCCCGCCCTACCACTACTCTCGCTGTGTTCCTCAAATCCTCTACCCAACCGTTTGCGCGGCGGATGACGGCTATTTTCTTGTTGGTATTCACGGAAAGCCTGGTATGATACCTCTATGGCTACAGCTCGATCTGCCAATTCCAACTACATCAAACCCCTTGCGGAAAGAACTACCAACAAGAAGGCACACCAGCTCGTCGGCAGGCATCCCCCCCCCTCTCAGACTGACTTCGTGTTGACATCCTGCGATGGATGGCAAAGCAAACAACATTTTCCAAATTGAATGACAGGCAGTACCGTTCACTCGGAATGGTACGACGGTGTATAAAGCAAGCTGCCGTCGCCCATGATTTTAGAGGTTCAACAGCTCCATCATCACTTCTAAGTTCACTACCACACAAATAGTCTACCATCTACAATATATTTATCTGCCAGCTTTCCTCATATAAGAAGTTCCTCAGCAAATACATCATCTCACGCACATTCGCCATCGCCCAAGTAAGTACCAAACTTTACTTGTGCTTCACTTTTTTCTTAGGATAAAGAATTTCTAGCACTTATCCTTGCCATTGATATCCAATGCTAATTCCGGTGCGTCTTAATAGGTCAATTCGAAATTTCCATTACAAGCTCACGATACTTTCCCGAACAATCACCGCCAAAATGTGCACTCACTATGTCGTCTACAAAAGCTGCAACAGACACTTCGACACCAAGATAGTCAAATGTGCTGCTTGCAAAGCGAGTGGAAATTGCCCAAGTGGACCAAAAATTGAGACATCCAATGCTGGAGAACCATGTACAAGTGGCTGTCCCTCGTAAGTAAGTGCGACTCCAACATTCCTGCTTAGTCATCTACTGATTAAGATCAGAGAATATGCCTCCTCGAACCTTTAAACCGTATTCGAAGGCGGCACCTCGGAATTCTCCAATCGTCTCCGACGGGACTAGTCGAGTGGAGCTGGATATTTTGTGGGCATCCGTGCAGATGAAGGGGTTTGGAGCTAGAGGCGAATTTAGAACAGGGTCAGAATTCTAAGGTGCAAAGATTGGTCGTGAATCACTGCTGTAATCATACAAGCATACCTGGGAGTTCATGGGACAATATCTCATTGTGTTGTTACTTTTGGGGGGTTTTCGTTCTGCTGTGGTAGATTTTAGTCGACACTTTTTTTCCTAATTACAATCGTCTTTCTTTGAATCATATTGAATGTAGCAACATGCATGTGAAGAGTGCACAAGTGAGGTCAATTTTACCAAACATGTCAGCCAATACAGTTTTGAACAATTCAATTGTTCCACTGCCTCTTCACCAAAGTACGACCTCATATCCAATTCTCTTTTCTTCCGAACTTCTGCCAATCAAACGTGTGGCAAAAAAGATCATGTACGCTAGCGATGGAGTAAAACTTGAGTGAGGTTGAACAATTTGCCGTGCGGCTTTCTTTGTGTAACTACAGGCCCCCTGAGAGAGCGCGACACCCGCCGTCTTCGACTGACTGATAGTCTTATCAGTCGTATTGCGGCTAATATCCCGCAAGTAACGGGCAACGAATGTGACATGGGCAATCACCGATCGATAAGAAAGGGGAAGAAGCGCGGTTGAAATTCCAGGTCCAGGGATGCAAATCCTTGCATTTTACATGCAGCTATATTCAATCATGTGATAAGGCTGGTCAGAAATCAGGCAATTGCCAGTGGAGGCCTAATCCTAGTTTTCTTTTGGACCGGATATTTCCCTTTTTAGTGCTGACAATGCGGAGAGCAACCACATCTGCGATGTCGCTATCAATGGACCTCGAGAAATTGACAGTTATCGGTCGTGTCCTTCCATTCACAGATTAGCAAGTGAAGATAAGTATGTCATAGCGCGTCTACCGCCTAAAACAGAGTGGATTGGTAAAGGAGAATTCTTTTGAGTAGAGATTCTATACCACTCACACCCGTAGTGATGATGGCCAGAACTCAGCTATCAGCCAAGTTGTGGAGCTGTGATACCATCGGGAGCAGAAGAGCGGCACGTACTTACGAGGAACAAAACTCAATATGATAAGAATATAAGGTGTTACATGCGAATTGAGGAAAGTACCCATCTTCCTATATGCAACATCGTGGCATTTTGAGATGACCTTCTCAAGATAGATAGAACATGATGAGTCGAAAATTCGAAATAAGCAGAAGGCCTCCTTGATGCCTAGCCTTCGAGGCCCAGGGGCATCAGACGAAATTTTTACATGTAATATTGTAATGTGATGAATTGTGCAGGGTAAGGTTATCCTTGCTTAAATGTGAGCTCAAGGTATGCCCGCTTATGCCGTCAAAAAGCTTTACAAGGAAAAAAAAAGCGCCGGCTAATTAGACGCAGACTGGCGCGCCAAATAAATCACACGACAGAGAAGCTGAAGATAACTGCATACAAACTAATGCAGGTATATTACTCCATACGTTCTGGTGAAAACCTGATACCAAACCAAGAGTCCATAGACAGATGTCATTCTGAAACTCTTATGTGATAGTTTATTGTCTTGCGTTTCAAGCAACGTCATCCATATGGCATTACAAGTTGGATGCTGGGAGCTGCTGCTGTGAAGGGTTTGCGGACGACCCGGACTGGTTCAAATACTAGTTATTCTGATTTCAGGTTTTGCACCCGAAAGGATTTGGAATTTCAACGATGTACATAGTATTGTGCTGTAACCAGGAACCAGAAACAAGATAAATGATGGAGCTATCTTTTATTAAAATTTCGAGTGATGTAGATCATGACCAGGATTTCCCTTGATCTATTTTCCACCAGCTCGTATATTGATATTTATGGAGTAGTCGAATAATAAAATTATCCGCGGATGCAATAATAAGTGAGAGGAATGAAGCATAGTTAAAAATTCGAAAGATCGAAAGAGGAAGCCGGAAGTGCGGAGTTACTAAGCATTGGTGAGTAGCAACGGATTGCCGCTATAGTAGTCGAATGCTGCTGCTTTAATAGCTTCCCCATCTAGATGTCAATTGCCTGCCAATTATCATCCTCGTCTACAAAGCACAAAATACATGTAGGGCATGAACAACAGTGTCAAATAATACCACTTCAACAAATAGAAGGTAACAATAGTTCTTCTCTTTTCTTTCTTCTCTCCGTCAAATCAGCAAAGGGAATGTCTGTTATTTGAAGCCGACAAAAACATCAATTCAATTGCGTCATCTCCATAATCAACATTGTTGACTGATTGATTGATCGATCATATTGGAAGAAGAAGAAATTTCATTGCCAAATGTCTATCGACCTGAATTGGGAGACATTGACTACCGGGCCAGATGGGATTGCCCTCGCAGAAAGGATCCGAGAATTTGTACATACTAAGTTCCAGACCGTGACTTTGCCCCGCTTCATCAAGGGTGTTAAAGTACACACATTTGAATTTGGCTCAATTGCTCCAGAGGTCGAACTAAAAGATATTTGCGATCCATTACCTGATTTCTACGAAGATATCGATGACGACTATGTAGAAGATGACGAAGACGAAGAGAACTCTGGGAACTCTCAAACTGATGGGGAGAATGAAGTCGCCAAGACTTTGCGAGAAAGAAGGAGGATGGACCGCGTAGAGAGGACGGCAAATGGTTCATCACATACTTCGACCCCTCCTGCATATATTGACACACGATATCCTGGACTGCGATCAATGCAAGCTTCTGGTGACACCGGAAGTCCCTTTTTAGGTGTTAGCACACCTGGTATTCCAGGTGGAACATCAAATTTGAGTTATTTCCATTCTCAATTAGCCAGTGGATTATCTGGTACTCAAACCCCACTAGCCGCGGTTGCCGGTGCACATCTACCTCAAGGATGGCCGGACCGACCTAGCCCATCTCTACACCTATCTGCGCTCCGTAATCAATCTCATACGCCTTTATCTCATACGGCGAGTGAAAGGTCCATGACTCCTCCGCAAATTGCGGATCTGAATCAGCAATCGCTACGCGAGAAGGCCAGTGTATCCACTCTCGCTGCTTCGTCTTCAACAACTAGACCAGCAACTCAAGACGGCGTCCCCGAAGAAACGATACCAGAGGAACACGTTGACGACAACGAAGAGCCAACTTCACCACCACGAAGATTTCGAGAGCCCAAGGTGGAAGATCTTCAGACTGTATTCCGAGTCCGATACTCTGGAAATATCCGACTTTCACTCACGGTAGATATCTTGCTTGACTACCCTATGCCAAGCTTCGTGGGCATTCCCGTGAAATTGAACATCACGGGGCTATCGTTTGACGGGGTTGCTGTTCTAGCATACATCCGCAAGAGAGCTCATTTCTGTTTCCTTTCGCCTGAAGATGCATATGCTGCTATTGGTGCAGATGAGAAAGACGCAGATGCTTCGGCTGGCATGAAAATGGGAGCTCTTTTGCACGAGATCAAGGTTGAGAGCGAAATTGGGCAAAGGGAGAATGGCAAGCAAGTACTCAAGAATGTGGGCAAGGTAGAAAAGTTTGTTCTTGAGCAAGTCAGACGCATCTTCGAGGATGAATTTGTGTACCCTAGTTTCTGGACATTTCTGGTATAACCTTTCAAGGGGAATCAAATGATATTCACCAACAACTTTGCTAATCCAAGATTATCAATCATCAACTCGATCCTCCAAGCAGGTTGGAAATCAGCACAGCTCAATGTGAGAATTTACAAAACCTAAGATTAAATCAAGTCGGCTTGCGAATTATATGATGAGAGGAATCCAGAGCCCCTCGTCCAGTCGAGCCCCTATTCACAAATAGATATCGCTTGGTAATTAGCCTTTACACCGATGACTCCTGTGACAACCTGGCAGACTGCTAAGCTAAGGTCGCCTTGAATCCTTGATATGCCGAATTCATGTCCAATTCCAATTCTCGCGCTTTGTCCTCACTGACCTCCTCCGTTGCTCTCATTTGATTCAAAGCAATGAGCCACTGAACAATCTTCCCCCTGCCCTCAAAGTCTTTGTCCGTAACCTTGTTTACACTTTGTATGACATCTGACAGTAGCGGATGTAGTTGATCCTTCGCCAATAATCCCAATTTCAGTGCATCCAAAAATGTTATGAAATCCTGTGTCGCTTCGAGAATTAACGTTCCGTTAGTACCGCTGTTGTTTGAAGTGGAGGCGTTATGTGATGGTGCAGTAACGGTGCTAGGTAATCCAATTCGGAGTCTTTCCGTGGCTCTTGGGACATCTATCTGTAATGAGTCGCACTCAGTTATCACGTATTGAAAATCGAAGTTCCGGAATATACACACATCCCATTCATTCTTGAAGGTCTCTAAATCCACAAACTCCCTAGCTACACTTTCGTCTGCTAATATAGCTTTGTATTGCTTCAACAATCGGTCGCAAGTCTCAGTGTAATCTGATTCTGGAATCGCATCCTTAAGATAAGCTCTTTCGAGTTGATCTAAAGTGATTATGATACTGAACACTTCTGCAAGTGAGTCTTGAAGGTCGCGCTCTGCTCTAGACTCGGCGAGCTTCACTTCCTAAATTTTGGAATGAGCTGGGGCATTCTCAAACATAGAGAGATATTTACCTCATCCAAATTTATGGTTGCGGATAATGCTGTGTTCGGTATATAACTATGAGGTGTAGGCGCATACGCCGGTTGTCTGTTTTGATACATATTGTTTATGGCGTTCGATTAATGTCTTCGATGAGCTTGGGGGGTATATCGCAGGTTGTTGGTGGGGGAAAGCTTAGGCTGTCGCAATCGCGTCTGCTGTGTAACGAGTAACATTTTGTAGGCATGAAAGCCCTGAATTAATGTATAAGGCAAGTTTCGTATGTGGATGCCCGTCAAGATATTATTATCGACGTTGAATTCTATCAAGAAGCTAATATATCAAAGGGTTCAAGGTATTTTGGATAACTGCTTTGCTGCGAGAAAGATTACCTTGGTTGTAATTGATTAATTGAAGGTTCCTAGTAGAAGCTGTGGAACTCTCACCGCTTTTGATATGCTATATCGGTACTAGCTTATCGCCGTAAAGATTTCCATCTCAAAAAAATCTTAGAATTTATTTTGCAACTTTATTATCAAAAACTCCAATTCAACCATGGCGAAAAGTACTAAAAAGTCCACTCGTAAATTCGAGAAGAATCATCTCAAGGATACATTGGAAAAGCGTAAAGATGGCGCAAAGTATAAGCAAAGACAACAAATGAAAGCAAAGCGAACGGCTCGAAATGCTAAGGATGCCGAATTCTTGGGAGGAAAAGAGGACGGGGAGGAAGGTTCAAAGCCTAAACCATCTGCGAAAGAGGATGCATTCGGAAAGATGAGCGTCGACGATTTCTTTCAAGGTGGTTTTGAAGTTCCAGCCAAGCTTGAGAAAAAGTCGAAAGCAAAGAAGGGAGCAGAGAAGTTAGGAAAGAGGAAGAGGACCGAACCTGAGGAAGAGGAAGAAGAAGAGGAAGAATCATCCGATGATTCAATTGGAGAGGCGCCAGTAATGAGTGACAGTGAAGATGGCGATGATGACAATGACGAAGGAATGACTGGTATGAGCAAGAGTGCCATGGATGCGCTCGCTGAGAAAGACCCGGAATTTTATAAATATCTCAAAGAGAACGACCCAGAAGCCTTGGATTTCGAGGACGATGCAGACTTTGCCGAAGTTGACGAGTTAAGTGGTGAAGAAGATGAACAACCAAAAAAGAAGAAACAAAAGAAGTCGAAAAAGGCAAAGAAAGAGGAGGTCGTAGAGGTAGAGGAGGAGGAAGAGACGCAAGAAGAAGAAGCTGAAGAGGAAGATGCCTCTGAAGTCACTAAAGCAATGGTCACAAAGTGGGCCAAAGCAATGTCTGAACAGAAGTCTCTACGGGCCATGCGACAAGCTGTTCTAGCTTTTAGAGCAGCTGCGCACGTCAATGAAGACGATGGAAAGGAATACAAATACTCGATAACGAATCCTGAAGTCTATCACGAGCTCTTGCTTGCTGCCTTGAAGCAAGTTCCCGAGGTTCTCAATCATCATCTTCCGGTCAAGGAGAGTGCTGCTGGCAAAGTCCGAGTATCAACGGATTCGAAAAAGTTCAAGACGCTATCGCCCCTCTTGCGATCTCACATCACTTCTGTTCAACATCTCCTCGCTTCGCTATCTGATGCCTCTACCCTTAAACTTACACTTTCCTCGGTCATACCACTTCTTCCGTATCTCTTATCTTTCAAAAAGGTTCTCAAGAATGTCGTTAAGACCGTGGTAGACATTTGGTCCGATGCTTCGAGCACAGAAGCAACCCGAATCACTGCTTTCTTGGTTATTCGACGTCTCGCAATAATCGGTGATGCTGGATTACGGGAAGCCGTTATGAAGACAGTATACCAAGGTCTGCTCAAGGGAAGCCGAAATACCACTATTCATACTATTCAGGGTATAAATCTCATGAAGAACTCCGCCGCTGAATTATGGGGAATCGATCAAGGTGTTGGATATACAACCGGTTTCACATTTATCCGTCAACTAGCAATTCATTTGCGAAGCAGCATCACAAACAACCAAAAGGAATCATACAAGCAAGTCTACAATTGGCAATATGTCCATTCTCTTGATTTCTGGTCGACTGTACTGGCTGAGCATTGCAATTCCCTGAAGGAGGCTGAAACAGGAAAAGAGTCTCAACTTCGACCACTCATTTACCCAACTGTTCAAGTCACCCTTGGAGCTATGCGTCTTATTCCAACTTCCACTTATTTCCCACTCCGATTCCACTTAATCCGTTCGTTACTTCGACTCTCTCGAGCCACTGGAACATACATTCCTTTAGCATCTGTATTACTAGAGGTCCTTAACTCCGCAGAAATGAAGAAGCCCCCAAAGCCAAGCACATCTAAATTCTTCGACTTCGCATCCAATTTCAAGGCTCAAAAGTCCTATCTTCGTACACGAGTTTACCAAGATGGTATTGGAGAGCAGGTGGCTGAATTACTTGCCGAGTTTTTTGTCCTCTGGTCTACTAGCATCGCACTTCCAGAACTAACATTACCGGTTGTCGTAATGTTAAAGCGATGGCTCAAAGATGCTTCGAACAAGAGCTCCGGGAACAAGAACAGCAAAGTAAACTCCATGTTTGTACTTCTCATTCAAAAATTGGAAGCAAACTCGAAATGGATCGAGGGAAAGAGAGCTAAGGTTGAGTTCGCACCCAACGATCGAGCCGGAGTAGATGGCTTCTTGAAAGGATTCGAATGGGAAAAGACTCCACTGGGAGCATTTGTTGTTGGACAAAGAAAGCAGAGAGAGGAGAAGGCGAAGATGTTGGAAGAAGGCAGAAGGGAAGAAGACAGAAAGAGAAAGTTGGAACGAGAGCAGGAAAAGGAAATGGGAGGTAGTGACGATGATTCTGAGGTGGATGAAGAAGAAGACTCCGAGGCCGGCTTTGATGATGAAGAGTAAACCTTGGTACTTGTTATTGTTGTTATTTTCGGAAAAGTGTTGGGAATATCTATCTCGGGAGTTTTGGTGGCCAAAGATTGCATACCTCTATGAAGGGTATGTTGTATGACCAGCATTAGATGTGAAGCTATAGCCTAGTCTTGAAATGAATTCGTATTAATGCAACTGGCCATGGCCAACGATTTCTTATCTGCGATCAGTCTATGCAGAGCACTTGGTGATTGAATGTTGTAAGCAATTATGAAGTGTGTCCAGACTACACGAGTAAGTGAGGCCTTGATTGTTGCGTTGATTTGTGCAGGTTTCTGAAACCAATACTGGAATTGCAGGTATCTAGGCACTTTTCCATCTCCATCGCTTAAGATGGATAGCCAATCAACTCTCGCGTGCGAATTTCATGATTTATGATTGGTCAATGCGAGAACAAACACTAAAGCTTCCAACGACCCTTTTAATGCTTTGCTTTTATGCACATGTTTACTTGGTACGGACTACCTCCAATCAATTTTCTAAACATAGGAGTAGGGGATCCAATTCAATTCCCCAAGGTTTTCACTAAACGACCAGATGATCATAGATCATAGTGGAAGCCGTTCAAGTACGAAAATCCCCGGAATCATTGCCTCTTTCACTGAAAGAGGTAGCCTATGAGACGCGGACCCCGAAGGCTATCTTCATACTAACTTAATGGGACCCTTGATGCAATTTGCTATGCAGGAACTTCAGTTTGATAGTCGCCCATGTGGTAGCTCGATAGGTTGATCAGCTTCTTGAGCAACTTGGGTTAAATGGAGCACCGTTATTGCTTCATCGGGTAATGAGGGGTACTGATGCTGATGATCATGGAAGATCGATTATGCGAGATATTTTACATACTCTTACCCCTCATCTTCCTGTTTTCGCTCCTGTTGTCATTATCGATCCTTACTATCAACTACGTACAAGATCTCTTTGCCCAAAGTAATGAGAGACTACCATGGCTTCTCTTACCCTTAACATTTTAAGAGAGCCTCAGAATCAAATCTTCACCACAGTTGTGATTTTATTCTTCTTCATTGCTGTCATTTTCTTCGCAAGAAATGCTTCTCTTTACCCCAAGAACTCGACACAAGATGAAGAAAATCCTAGTGCTTTAAAATCCTTCTTGAAATTTTTCTATGCGTCGTTTCTTAAACCGCATAATGGGGATGGTACCGAAAATGGTCAACAAGATGCACTGGAAAGTTTCTACAAGGCACAGGCGGGAGTGTATGATGCGACAAGGAAGAGGTTGTTGAGGGGGAGAAAAGATATGCTGGCGTTGGTGGCGGCGCAATTGGTCAATAAGGCGAGTAGGGAACGTACTCATGATACGAAACGCATTTGGGTTGATGTAAGTTTTTTCTTAGCTTAGGAAATGCCAAAGATGGTCTTCTTTCAAAACCACGCCCTTGTGAGATATACAAAATGCTAATAATCACGAGTAGATTGGCGGTGGCACTGGATGGAATATCGAAGCGATGTCTGAATATGTCTCGGTTCCAGAGTTCTTCTCTAGCGTTTATCTTGTTGATTTTTCTCCCAGTCTTTGTGAAGTTGCACGGAAAAGATTCAAGCGACTTGGCTGGAAAAATGTCAAGGTTGTATGTCAGGATGCTCGCACATTTCGTCTAGAAGACCATGAAGATATTGATCTTGAAATTACCAATCTCTCGCGGTCGCCTACTTCGAATTATTTCTCGGATTCGAATGCTGTTGGTGGTGCGGATCTCATTACTTTGTCCTACAGCTTATCTATGATAGTGAGTGTTCGATACTTACATTGAGATAGGATTTTCCAGTGGCTAACCGTTTATAGCCTGACTTTTATTCTGTCATCGACTCTCTTGCCAACCTACTCGCTCCCTCGGGAATGGTTGGTGTTGTAGACTTCTACGTCCAATCGATTGTGGACCTTAGCTGTAGAAACTACACTGGCGGCGTGATAAATCGACATGTGAACTGGTTAGGGAGACTTTTCTGGCGAGCATGGTTCGATGTCGATCGTGTGAATCTAGAGGCTGGTCGTAGAGATTACCTCGAATATCGATTTGGAACTGTTCTCAGCGCAGACTCAAGAAACAACTTATTAGGATTTATTCCATACTACATATGGATTGGATGTCAAAAGAAGCCTGCATCCTCAATAGCAGCTCCAAATTACCCACATGAAATGGTTGAACGTCTCGACGCCGCAGTAACAGAATCTCCGTACCTGTCTCCTATCAACCATACAAAAAGGCTATCCCGCACTGTGGATGGATCAACACTACCAGAGATTCGATCTAAAGCGTTCGAAGCAGCCATCGTCAATCTCTCAGCAAATCTGCCACTCCCTTCTTTCTTCTACCAGAATCATCACTGGCGAATTCACTACGATGATCAGCTCAAAAAACACACCCAATTTGGACAAGAATATATCTACGCCTTTACTTGGGAAGATACCCGAGTGGACGAACGTCTCCTCAACATCACTCGCGACGATGTTATCCTAGCAATAACAAGCGCAGGTGACAATATCCTCTCTTACGCCCTCAAATCTCCTCGTCGTATCCATGCTATTGATTTAAACCCCAACCAAAACCATCTTCTCGAATTGAAAGTTGCTTCCTTCGCCGCCCTCCCCTATTCCGATTTTTGGAAACTGTTCGGTCTTGGGAGGCATCCCCAGTTCCGAGAACTACTTCTTACACGTCTCTCGCCTCACATGTCTTCCAGAGCTTTTCAATATTGGTTGACCCATGCTCACGTCTTCACCACCAGCTCTCGCGGTCTCTATGAAACCGGTGGCTCCCGCCATGCCATCCGCATCATCCGTCTCCTATCCCAAACCCTCGGTTTTAGTAACGAAATCAAAACTTTGCTCGCCTCCAAGACCCTCAACGAACAGCGAGAAGTTTGGAACACAAAAATCCGACCTATAATTATGAGCCGGATTTTCTCCTACCTCGTCGTATCTCAAGAAACCTTTCTCTGGAAAGCCCTTGGAGTTCCAAAGAATCAGCTTCATATGTTGGAAGCGGATTACATAGCTTCTGAATCCGTGGCGCGAAATTCTTCGCCTCTAGAACATTCGGAGACTGATTTGAAGAAGAGTAAGGGAAGTGCGGTGTGGGAATACATGATTCAGACTCTAGATCCAGTGATTGAAAATTCGTTGATAGGGGAGGATAATCCATATTACTTGGTTTGTCTTCAAGGTTCTTATACTCAGAGATGTCACCCTGATTATCTACGTCCGAAATCGCATCAAAAGTTATCTCGTCATGATGCATTTGACGGGTTGAGAATTCATACGGATGAAATTGATGAAGTGATTCAAAGAATCACGCCCGGCACGCTTACTATTGCAGTGGTTATGGATAGTATGGATTGGTTTGATCCGGGAGCTGAGGCTGCGGAGAAGCAGATCAGGAAGTTGAACCGGGCACTCAAGATGGGAGGAAGAGTATTATTGAGAAGCGCAGCACTGACGCCATGGTACATTTCCACGTTTGAAAGACTGGGATTCGTAGGCAAGAGAGTAGGTGCCAGGATTGGAGGGGCATGCATTGATCGGTTAGTTTCTCGACTTCGTGTTTCTGATCTTATCTACAATGTGCTAACTCAATCAATAGTGTCAATATGTATGCGTCATGCTACTTGTTGACCAAAGTGGAAGATCTGGAGTCATTGACTCCAGCAGCAAGTCCTTCGAGAATTTCGGGTAGACAAGGGTCCATGGAGTTGGAGAAACTTGAGATCTGACGGCTGGATGCTATCAGATGGCACTTTCCGGCTGCGAAACTTTTGCATGGCAACAGATGGAAGAGGCTTTTTGGTTTGAGGAAGTCTCGAAGTGTTTCCTTTATGTATTGAGATTGACTGCAAAAAGTTTAAGAAGTTCTATTATAGCAAGTTATACCTTTGTTTTCACTTTTAGATGAATATCCCTATAAAGTAATATTTATGAACGCAGATTTTGACAGGCTACATGTGACCTAAAGTCTAGATTGGTTTCGTTTCAAGAACCTTGTTCCGATAATCATTTATATGGAATTGGAACTTCTGTAGGAACAAATGGATATTAGCTCAGTTACTGACAATCCAGCCGTTATATTACAGATTATACAAGATGCATGTGAGAAAATATACTCTACATAACGACCCCCAGACCCGCAAGGTAATAGTCCACCTCTCTGATATACTACCTAGGTAACCATCAAGACCCAGCAGATATTATCCATACCTACCGGAGTACCTCAAGCAATCCGCTAGTGTAATATATACTGGTATATTAAACCCCCTTCAGATCAAAACCAGCCATCTTACCCAAGTACTACTCGAAAGCCTATAACTATATCCATATCCAGTATTTCCAACGCCCAAATTATCTACAAAAAACAAAACAAATACCCAACGGGCAAGTTCCTACGCCCAATGACGTATCCATTCCACTCATCCCAACTCGCGAGCTCCCGTTGCCGAATGATCTAGTGCTCGGATGCAAGACGGGTGGGATATAGTATAGTGCCCGGGGTGGCGGATATTGAAAGCTCACGGGTATTTTAGTTGGATTCCAAATACTTGCGGTATCGGTACTTGGGGTCTGATAGTTGAGAGGATGGATAGATAGATGGATGGATGGACGGAATGATAAAAAAGTAAAGTAAAGTTATTCTTTTGAGTGGTGAGCTAGCTATGTAGTGACTGATCAGTGATTATATCAATTCACGCACGACACGATTCAACAATCGAACATATGGGAAACACAAAAAACGATTGAAATCCCATCTCAGATTGACAAGCCAGTGGCACCGAGTTGAGTTCAACGCTAGGGAGTTGATAGTTTGGAAACTCTAAAGTATAAACACCCAACTAGTAATTTGATACGAGGAGAAAGGCATCTAGCGAGCAATGAATAGCTGGGGAAAAAGAGCTATTCCTCGGGTCGTGCTCACGAATTGCAAATATTCACATTTGCGTTGTCGATCCCATCGCGGGGTTTCTGGGTCTTGCGTGAAAAGGGTTGGGGAAATGGAATTTCGTATACGGGTATTTGTAATAGTGATATCTGGGAAGGGAGCGCTGCTTATGATGGAGGTCAATGTGATATAAGTATCTAGATAGTATATATTCATCCCTATATTCCAATTCTAAGCATCCTCGTCCTATTCTTCTCTTTCTCTATCTCTTCCTTCTATACTCTGTCCTTACAAATCACATAGATTCTTGAGTCCGCAAAATCTCACAGAATGAAACCCCACGCGTCTCTCATTGGTACTTTGTCGTTTCTCGCGGCGACAGCCACGGCAAAAACATGCATCAATGCCACGGTGCCCGTTACGATATCTGCTCGTCAAGCAGTATTCGATATCGAGGTTCCAACAACCAATCTCACTACTCCCGATTTCTTCCTCAATATAACACAGCAGGGAAGAAACTTCACGGATATAGCTTTGTCAGGATATCAGACGACGACTGGGACTTATAATATCAGTACTATGTATTGTAAACCCGATGCGGATAATTCGAGTAATCCAACAATACAGGTATGCTTTCTTTTTCTTGGGTTTCGTTTGATGTATTGTGCATATCAGGTGGGAGCGTGTAGGAATCCAAACTAACTCTCCATATAGGTCCTAACCCACGGTATCGGCTTCGATAAAACCTACTGGGACCTCCCTTACAACAACTTCAACTACTCCTACATCGACATAGCCACCACCAACTACTCCTACCACACTCTATCATTCGACCGTCTCGGTACCGGTGCTTCCTCGCACGGCGAACCCCTCAATGAAATTCAATCCTACATCGAAGTAGCCGCCACCGCGGCCCTCACAACCATGCTTCGCAACGGTACATTTCCATCCGCAATGAACACGTCCTATAGCCGAATCGTGCACATTGGTCATTCATTCGGAAGCGCCCAAACATACGCTTTAGCAAACATGTATCCCAATATCACCGACGGAATCGTATTGACTGGATTCACGATGAACAGTTCCTTCGTATCCTTATTCGCGGCGGGAGGAAACTTCCAACAAGCGCAGGAAAACCAACCGTCTCGATTTTTTAATTTTACTGCCAACATAGGGACTACGGATATCTCATTGTCGTCGCCCGAAGCCGTGCCAGCAGGGTACATGGTTTCATCCAACGCGGCCGCAAACAAATATCTATTCCTCAAGCCCAACTATTACGATCCATCGATCCTCACCTATGCCGAAAGCACAAAGCAGACGGTTACACAAGGAGAACTTCTTACATTGGGATCCTTACCTATGACTAACAATTATGCGGGGCCGGTTATGGTCATAGATGGGGATGCGGATTTACCTTATTGTGGATCGGATTGTTTGGCTACCGGAGGGGTTGCGGATTCTTTGGCTGCGATGGTGAAGGATTGTTTCCCGAATGTTGGCGAGAGTGATTTCGAGGCGTATATACAGCCCAATACTGGACATGGCATTAATTTGCATTATAATGCGACGGGAGCATATGGAGTGTGGTTGGATTGGTTGGGAGAAAAGGGATTGGCGGGTTCGTAAGGGACTATGGTAGGCGGAAGGAAGATATTGAAAGGAGATAATGACTTTGAGAAGGGTGCAATATTTGAGAGCGTTGTAATATAGACGATCGAGATGCCAGGACCAAAGGACTGTTGGAAGTCTTGAGGATGAAAAGCAATCCGGGCATTGAATGCTAGTTAATTCATGAATTACCATAAAGAAAAAAATGGCCATAGAGTATATTTGTGAGTAATTATATTGATTGTGATGTGCAAACAAGCCTTCAGCAAGCAGCACAATGAGGGTTATGGATAGAAAGATACATGTATATTTGCATACTCGCATTGATTTATTGAATTGAAATAGTAGATATCCATCGAAGCTTCAGATCCATTGCTGAATGGCAGTGAAAGCAAGAAACAGTGATGAAAAGAAAAGCAGAGAGTTTCTATTCTACCTCGAAGATGTCCACTTGTCTGAGTACTACGGTCCACAGACTGACAGTGTAGGCAAGCTCTTGGCTATCTGTATCAGGGCGACCTAATCGTCAATTCAAGAACTACAAGATTGCGTTTAGCAGATGGCAAAAACGTGATGCTCTTGGCAAAGAATAAACAGAAAGCATAAGAAGAAGAAAAAAGTATAAATCAATATAGCAACTACCTTTCTCCGAGGCTCTTTCAATTCCGCCACCAACTTATCTTCCCCACGCTGCTATACCCCCATCTTTTCGATTACTTCCTTTTCCTCAACTAAGCTGGAAAAATCATTCTAATTCAAATGATACCACCTGACACTCTTCCAACCCCTCTCGAGAATCAAAAGATCCTCACGTCCATGCACATGACCTAATCCCATTTTCAGAACGCACAGGAGATTTCCACTGGGAATTTTCCGACACACATACAGGGTAGCAAGAGCACTACGGTAGCATATCAAATTAAATCGAGAGATCGAATCCAAAATCGAATCAAGTCAAAAAGGAAAGGAAAGAATCAACAGTCTAAAATTCAAGCTATATTCCAAGAAACTTTTTAGCTGCTGGGAAAAAGGCTTAATGACGCTTGATTGATGGGGGAGCTTGGTACGCGGAATGCCAAGCGTCTATGTCTAGAACAATGGTGGCTTCACGGGCTTTTCTAGACGGTCCGTTCGTCCCTATCTTGGTTTTCTTTTTGAACCTGTGAGGTATTGATCTAGGTAGATAAAATTGAGTATAGCACCCTCGTGGCAAGTGCCGTCGCTAGTAATTTCGATAAGGGGAGTCATGTTAGATGAAGACTAGAAGAAGAGTTTGTTGATCAATTAGATGATTTTTTTTTTCTCGGGTCTAATGATTCGAAGAATTGAACAGCGCATCTGTTGTGATGGGGAGTGCTACAGATACCCAGTATCACGCACAAGCAAACATCGCAATAATATCGGCAACTCCGCGCATCAGCTCGAGATTATTTATTTATTTGTTTGAGTTTGTCTTGGTTCGTTAGGTAACCTGGGTTTGTTCGTCAATTCATATGCGAGAGATAGCGGACGGGAGGATGTGAGAAGAATTGGAAAAGCTAATAGCTTTCTTTCATGCATGATGCATGGAATAGATTTTACGCACAGCACCCCTTCTGAAAAAGGTGACCCCGCGGATTAGATTGTAGAGAGTAGAGAGAGAGAGAGTGGGTGAGGAAGCGAGGGAATTGCTTGGTATATGGTGTTTATGTTCTGATTGGACAATGTCATTCCTGGGAGCTAAACGGGTGAGATAGGAAGGTGGGGATTTGATGGATGAGTATTTGCTATTGGGTGATCGTTGAGTTTTTGCCATCAAGTTGATGTTGGTTCGCGGCGTGGAAGGCTAATTTATTAGTTTGGAGTATGCGTATCGGTGCTTTGTCGATTTTCGGAAGATGGGATATGGGATATGGGAAATGGGTGAGGGATGCAGTTTGTTGAGAGAGATATTGGAAGGATTCAAGAAGGGAAATTTGGGACGTACGATATTTCATAGCTGTTGTCGACGCTCATACAGTACTTCCTGACATAGGTATCTCTTCCCTATCTACTCGGGTCCATATTATCTTCCTGTCTAGTATATGATATGATATGGATATGGTGTGTTTGAGTCTGTGCTTTGGGGCATTGCAGTGCAGATACCCATTATTGTACTCGAGTATTGTGGGCAAAGAAGTATGTAGTCCACCCAGTGAGACTGTCATATGGCCAAATTCATGATTTTTATACGAATAGATATTGTATAGCCACCATGCTACGATATGTACACCACGCGTCAAGACCCAAGATGGCGATAAGAAGATAGAAGTGAATCGGGTGTTAGACACGCCATTAGATCTTGTATTGAAGTGATAAGCACTTTATGCAATACAAACTCGATCGGATAGATTTAATGAAGGGTATAGTGGCGAAGGAGCTAACATCATAGAAAGGCCCTGAGAATATTGCATGTGGCTCTGATGCATTCATCCTATCCAATTCTCTATCTCGTCTCTGATCCTGCATCGGAAGTGATACCAAATTCAATATCTGTACCGGAAGCTTGCTTATATTAGGTATGCACTAGGTGTGTAACGCTGAGGCGTACAGAATAACCTTAACAAGCGCATACGACTCTTATTTTGGGTACGAAGTGTGCAGAGGCATGCCTACCTACCTATCTACGCATAGGTACATACGGGAAAATCCCTCCTCCACGAGAAACCCATCCTGTTGTCATTTGTCTACACTGCAGAAACAAAACGTTCAATAAACTAGTCGTACTCGCAGTCGTACTACTCACCTCGTACATACAAGTAGCAGAACAAGTGGATATGAGATATTGACAGCAGCATCATCGCCATTACCGCAGCGATACTCCTGAGCCGTGATCCTATTATCCCGCAGTAAACCCAATAGTTCTATATGTTGATTGAAGAAGATCAAATCTCAAGCACTATATCGAAATCAAGGGCTCTTCGCATATCGATTTATCAAACGCAACGAGCGTATCTGATTCCTATCCAAGCTTGTCTAGAATGAAGTTAGTGTTCCGCGCTGTGCAAGGATTTATTAGGGGTAAAAGGTGGGTTTTGGCGGGTCTTGGTGCAACTATTTTGCTGAGAAGAGATTAGTTTTCCGGATCCTAGTATCAAAAATCTAGGAACAGGAAGGGATCAGCTGCTCTGAGAGCGAAATTACTTTGAATAGTGAAAAGAAGAGGAAAGTTTGGTGTTTCAATAGACTTGAGAATGGACGAATGAATGGACATCATGACTGAGTATTGACGAGACTACTAGACACTGACTATGAAAATTTGGATTAATTTAGTGAACGAGTAATGCCGGCATGAAGGTCTGAGGAGTGGGAAGTTGGAAGTTGGTGATTAGATGATGTGGGCTTGGAGAACTGATAGACAGACGGGTAGACTGGGTAGCCTGAGTAGACTGGATCGATGGAGCGTGAAGATTGTTTGAACTTTTGGAGTGGAGGAATGAGATAGAGTGGCACTGTGGTACTAGTTATGGATACTAATGGTTAAGCCAAGGTCAGACCAAACCCGACCAGACCAGACCTGACCAGGTTATGAGGAGAAATACCTGTTCATATTCATATTCATACTGCTTTCTTGCTTGCTTGCTTGCTTGCCTGCTACTCCGTACATTAGCCTACCTACTTGCTGGTACCGTACTGGCACTTATTCTTATTATCTTTTTCTTTTCCCCAACTGTCCCTAGTCGATTAGACAATACGTATACGGAGTAGACACTAGCTAGCTACAGTACTAGGTAGTGTAGTCAGTATCTATCGCGCAACCACAAAAAAATACCTTCATTCATATCTAATCCCTCTCCCCTCCTTTTTTATGGCTATTTGACTCGATTCGACTCGACTCTATTCTTTTCATCTTCTTGGATATTTTTAATTCAAAATCCATTCGACCCTTATTACGGTAATTGTTCTTGTTATATACAATTTAAAAAAAAACAAGTATCACTTCGATCCTTAATTGTTTGTTTGTTATCGTCCTCCCTCAATCGGATTCTTCAAAGTTGCTACGACTACTGTACGATTAGGTTCTGAGCAACACCCGAGAGGAATCATACGCCTAAAATCTTCAATCATTCATTCAAATCATCCATCCAACTGAATCATATTTGACAACCAACCTTTTCAAAAGGAATTTGATTGAATCAATTGTCACAGATTCCATACGATAAGAGATTCAAAATCATTTATTGGTCTTGTGTTAGAGAATAAAAGCTTCTTCAAAACAACAATTCGAAGATCTTTCAAAAATAGAAAGTCGGTCGTTCTTACCTCGTTTCGAAAAGAGTACGCTAGCATCACGGATTGGAGCTTCTACGAACCTACCTACTATCTAAAGTAACCTCCCAAGCACCTTTATCAATCATTCCTCTGCTCGAGCATCGATATACCAATATATCTCGAGCCAAAGAACCTTCTTAAATTAAAAGAAAGGACATTAAATCAAACTCATCATGTCCTCTCCTGTGGATGAGAAATCGACTCTTGTCGACACGAACGTTCTTACCATCAATCGACCTACTCCATCCCGCACACAATCCAATCAATCCGTTCTCAGCACAATCGAAGATGTCGACTCTACCCATTCTTTAAGTCCAACTCACACTCGCTACGAGAAAAGCAGTCTGTCTCAAGAAACATCTCCATTCTCTCCATTCTACAACCCAAACCCTACAAGATATTCGCTCGAAGCACAAAAATCCTCGTCGAAGCATAATATAGCGATGTACGATACAGATGTCGAAGCTTGTCTCACACCACAACAAACAACGAAGAGTGGAACATTGTTGACGAAGGCGAAGACGGGTGCGACGCAGGAATGTACGGTATGGCCTGGTCAACAACAAATGAAGAGGAAGAAGAAGGCTATGAAGCAACACAGACTGAGCGCTGGTATCTGCGGTTGCATGGCTGGTTTCGATCGAAAGACGAGAATCTGGATTAAGGTCCTGATTGCTTTGGTGGTCGTTGCTCTTGCCGTCGGTGTTGGAGTCGGTATCTCTAGAGCTGTTGGAGGAGGAGTCTGGAAGAATTCGCAGAGCACGAACACTGCTATTCCCAGCTAATTGGAATGAATTGGCCAATAGATAAGTGTACAAGGTATGTTCGACTCTGTCAAATCGATGCCAATCGATGTCAATCGATGACATATTTGATGCTAATTGTGTCTAGACATGATCTCCGTCTATATCAGCGTACAGCACATCCTCTGCTACTGCATCCTCGACCCACTATACACAAATACCTCGCAGCATGAGACTCGCAGATCTCTTGGCCTTTCAATTCGATTGATCACCCAATCCTAAATTAAGTCGCCTTGTACATACACTATTTCGATGTCGGTCTTTCAATCACATCATCGTTCTTGGGCGTTCGCGGAGCATCTTTTCTCTTAGTTTCTTATTTCTTTCCTAGCGCAGGGTGAAATAAGCATAAAGCACCAACACCTTTTCAACGCTTTGTTTTTTCGTTACGACATATTGCATATGACATAGATACATGATGTGCATATGTTATGTGATCCATGGCGTGGAGACACTCTTTCTCTTTTCTAATCATCGGTCGTGTCTAAAGTTCGAGGGAGGCAGGGCGATGGAAAATTTTGCTCGATTTCTGATTTCTCTTGCTGTGCATAGATGATATGAAGCGACGATTGTGGTGGTAGTGGTATGGGGATGAGAATGTTCATACATTGCATACATACATATCGTACGTGGATAGATGAGGACAAAACCTGTATTTGGAGTATTGGAGCGAAATGGATGAATGGACGGGATGGAGTGAAATATGGGAAATGCTAATGATATGAACACCAACTACTTGATGAACCCTTTACATCTTTCGTGACTGTTGACGTGAAATTGAGTTGATTGATTCCAGTAACTTTGTCTTCAACAAAACGTTCCGTTTCGTATAGCACAAATGCAAGAAGCATGAACAAAGAGAATGAATAAATCAAATGAATAAATAAATAAAACTAATCACATCGAAAATACTACAAGAGAGATGGGCACAGCAGCCGTTTATCAATCAATATATCTCAATCGGAGATGGAAGGAAATATCGGCATCTTGGTAAGCCAGCCCATTTGCACCACACATACACCAAGAATCAAAAGATGCATCTGAGTGGAGTTTTGAGGTCATTTTTTCTCTTCAGAGCGGAATATGGAAATTTGGCGGATTTCCGAATCCGAATGGATGGTTGGTTGGGGTGATGGGTGGGTGATTGGATGGGATGATTGGGTGGATGGATGATTGGGGTTGGGGTGGATTATGTAATGCGAGATTGTGTGCATGGATTGGGATTGGGATTGGGATTGAGGTTGGGAATTGTGAGGGAGGGAGAGAGGAGGAAACTTGGAAGGGGGGGGTATGGGTATCGTGTGGGATGGGGAGAGAGGAGTTTTTGTTTGTTTGCTTGTTTGTTTTGTTTTGGTTTTAGGGTAGGTGAAAGATATATATATATATGTTTTGATTGGGTTGTGAGCTGTGAGTTTGATGATGGATAATAGATGGTAGATGATTAGTTTGTTGGTTGGCTGGGTAGTTTGGAAGTTGGTGGCTGGTTTGGTATTTTTGGAGGTTTGTAATGGAGGGGAAGGGAAGGGAGTAAAGGGGAATTTGATATCTGGGGTTATGGATTTCTGGGTTTCTGGGGGGATTGAGAGTTCATGTTTCTCAATTGCTTTACCTTACGTTAGGATTTTTGATCTACTTTGTAACTTTTTAGAATAGTGACTTGTTATAGTAATGGTATTAAATACTCGATGTATTTGTGGTTGAATAATGGCTGTATTTGTTATTTCATGATATAAAGATCGTTGTTACCCTTCTGACCCCTCCCTCAATGACCTATGTCTAAAGTTCGAAGTCTAGTATCTCTACCTTCTCCTGTTCCTCCTCCTCCTCAACATCATCTTCTACATCCACGATTTCAATCTCAAATTCGAGCTCATACTCGATGCCATCATCATTATCATCATCCACTCCCTCCTCTACAAATTCAATTTCGAATTCAACCTCATACTCAATCTCCTCCTCGATTTCAAACTCAACCTCAAATTCAATCACCTCCTCTTCAATATCTTCCTCTTCCTCTTCCACATGTCCCAATCTCCCCTCCAACTCCTCACACTTATCCCATCCCTCAACAATCCAAACCATTCCTCCATCACTTCTCATCTCTCTCCAGTCCTCTCTACTAACCCCCATCTGCCACGTTCTCAGAATCCCCTCTTCACACGTTCCTAGTCCTCCATTGATTTCCGCATCGCCTCTATTATCCTCACATCCTTCGGCGTGTAGAATCCAGGGTTCCATGATCTCTATTTCCATTTCTTCTTCCGTCTTCTCGTTTTTACCATGACACTTCTTCTTTCGATTCTTCTTCTTGAGTTCCTCGTTTGCATGGCCCGGGGACGCGAAGATGTGTTTTTGTTTATCTTTCTCAATACTGTTAATCTCAACAGGGAAATATACCCAGAATCTTTCACTTCCATCGCCTCCTACACCATCACATCCACACCCGGAACTGAAATCGTACACATATCCCCAGTCATCAACGATATTTGGATGGAGGGCAACGGGCTCATCAATCCCTTCGCAGAAACCGGGGAGTTTTGCAGAAGCGTGCGGTTCGAGGGCACCGGACGTGTAGGGGGTTAGGAAAGTAGCAGAGTAGGAGATGCATTTTTCGGGTGATGTGAGTGGGGCCTGGGAGGGTGAATGTGCGAGGACAGAGACGCGAGGGTGAAGAAGGGCGAGGAGAGGAAGGTAATGGATGAAGTTGGTGAGGGTGTGCATTTTGAATAAGACGGGAGATGTGTGTGGATTATTGTGTATATTTGGATTTGCTTCTAGAACCAGTGACTTAAAGCAGATAACACAAATGGAAGAGACAGAAAAAAGGAACTCGGAGAGAAATAATAAGAAGTCGAGCTTTCCCTTGAAACCAGCTTCAACATTAGCTTTGAAGAAAATGGAGCAGTCAAGGAATGACGCAAATATATGCATTCATTTACCAACAGATCAGCTGTCTGAAACCTTGCCCTGCAAAGGTCTGCCTTGATCTTCGACTCCAATATGAGTCCATACATACACAATAAAGGCCATTTCAGACCGTCTCAGCCATCGTCCTTCGACCAGAAACGGCCACCATATATACTCATAAATAAGTGATCTACAAAGACTTCAAACTTGTGGCGAACGATGGGGTGTCAGTCGTCCTACAGCTAAGCGCTGGACGTATCTCAGGTCGCTTAATCCCTCGATTGAATGTTTGTTGTGCGCTTAGTTTGATTGGCGCCAACATTACGCATACCTTACAACGTACTGGATCCTTCACTTGAATCAATGCATACTCGATCTGTAAATAACTTTTTTCCGCAGAATAGATTACTTTGTGTAAAAGGAATACGCAAGAACGAGAATCGCCTGCGAACAGTCGTTCTCAATTAACCGCTTCCCTGCGTCTCCTCCTCTTCCAAATTCCTCGCATAAAATCAAACGAGGATTAAAGAAAAGTCGTCCTTTAGTTATTGAGACTGGTGTAAGATTACATAATTCTGTAATGCCATGTATACACCTACTACGCTATATGAAAATAATAAGACTGTTTCAAGAGAATTCTCAACTGCGTTCGATTAGAGTGTATATGGACATCCGTGATATTCTGACAGGTGGTCATGTACGGGTGGATCCATTATTCAGGCATGACCCGCGCTCAGAACGTACTTTAGATTCCACACTCTTCAGAATGAAATCACGGAAAGAAACGAACGAAAGTAAATTGAGTCTTTGTAGAAAATCTTGAATATCGACACCCACTCTCCACACGATTTAAGAAGAGTCTACAGTCTGGTTATGAGTTTCACTACTGGGGTAGTTATTGAGCATTGTCGGGGCGGAATGAATTGAGATGCTAGATCTCCAACCTCAAGGCACATTCGGAGCACTTGCTTAATGATGGACCTATCTAGCTCTTCTTGCCCAATATTCGCGACCGAAAATGAAATATGCGTCTAAACAAAAATATTTGAAAATAACCACTAGATATGTTGTTTGGATGTACAGCCGCTAGGTGCCAAAACATACGTTATGATGAGAACAGAAATGGTATGTGCGGCAAGAGTAGACTCAAGTCAAAATTTCTTTTGACAAGAGCGAAACAAATTAAGTGGTAGGTATGTAAGGAAAGTGCAGCAGAGAGTAATAGGGTCGCCTAAGTTATCCTCCTAGTGATCTCTCGGTTCAACTATGGAAAATATTGACTCCTGTTCATAATGGGTTGGTCAGTAAGGTGATTTCTGACGAAACCATGAGCAAACTATACCGATAATGTTAGGAGATTTCAATCAGCAAAGTATTTCGCAAAGAAATGAAATTAGTCGATGGCAGTAACAAGTGCGTAGAAAAAAGCCAGTGCTTTGGAAATTGAAGATTTCAAGAATTCTGGGACACTGCTGCTGACTCCAGAGCGACTTCATGAGACTGACTGCCATGATTTCTGATTCCTGAATCCTGAATCCTGGATGAAAATGGAATACCTACACAATCAAATGATGAAGTCACGCGCTCATTTCTACACGTCATTTTGCCGCCAATTGAGGCTGATAGCTGATACCCACATAGTCATGATGGGGTACAGTGAGTAGTACTGTAACAGCTAAATGGACAAACCGGAAAACCTTGGGATTGGAAAGGGAAAGGGACAAAAAACCCCGAGTTTTGAATCTATCCAGACGAGCCAGACTCCAGAGTGAAAATGTATGACCGAACTTATGGCGACCTGATAGGCTAATTCCTATATATAAACTCTGCATAGCTGCCGGGCTTTTGCAATATTCTCCGTTTGGCTGCGTTACGAAGTACGAAGGTAGACAGGCAGGAGGCAGGGATGACACAGCCCGAGAATAGTCACCCACCAGAAAACTTGCGATATCGATATCGTATATATCGTATATTCGTAACCATCATCGTGCGGCAGGAAGAAGAGAATTGGCAGTCGAGGATCGAGAAGACTTTTTGTTTGAGTTAGCGAAATCAGGTCATACCGAGATCAAAGT